AAGTCTTGTAAAATGTAAAGGTCAAGGTTGAATAACCTGAGTACGTGAACTTGTGAGTAATCAAAGTTAATAATGAAAAAGACCTAACAGAGATTTATAGTTCTACGAAAAGTACCTATTCGCTAATGTACCTGTTCGTCACTATCGCGCTATGCGCCCTAGATGATAATGAAGGTGTGCGACTGTTCGCGTGACTGAAACGACTGTCCTATGACGAGCGCTATTTGCTGACGTCATCCTACGGACTTATATTCTACAGTATGATTCGACACTAACTACACATAATCTACTTACAGAAATGCTAAGTATCAATTATATCACAACATTAACAAGCTCTCTTAACCCAGTGGTTAGTGGTTGAGATTCTGACACAAGGTAGCATTTTGATAGCATTGGGTTGATGAAAGAACAAACATATGGAGGTGTTAAATAGGTGTCTCGACAACTTGCATGAGTAACAATGAATTATTTTGCACTTGTATGGCATCATAAATAATACCGTATTGTTCACTAGGCAAACCTTGCATGTCTATTTAGTAAATGGCCCAACAAGGTGTAGTAAGGTGGCAAAATCCCTATGCCCCAGAACCCAAAGATGGACTCATGCTACTGGTCGTGTCCTCTTGGAATATCAGCTTTCGTGTTGTATAAGCCGTTGGATCTGCCGATTAGGTCGATCCTCCACGTCAGATTCCCCCATCAGCGCCCTCGTTGAGGGAATACCTTGCCCCCCCACTGCGCCAGCATTGCAGCTGACGTGTGGACTGAGCGGCGGAATCTTTGGCACACGGGCTGTTGTGGGGGGAGAGGGGGTTTGGGGCTAGGAGGGGTTGAAGCCTCCTTCCATCCTTGTGTACATTCCTCTTTTTTCATTTATCTCTCGGATCTGTTAGCTTCGCCGGGAGTAGCAGCCCTCACATCTGTTCTCGTCTCTTGACAAGTCGTCCCTCTTTGCCCCTGTGGCTGGTGCTCGTCTAATCAGCCAAGATGGTGCGTGTTATCCTTTCAATCCTACAACATTCGTGTGTTATCTTGATGGTACCTTGAATTCTATTCTGAACCGCTTGCATGGTGACATGGCTCATGGATGTCGATGTTCGAATTTGTGTCTTGCTACTGCAGGTGAAGTTTACGTTCGAGGATCTGCGGGCGATCATGGACAAGAAGAACAACATTCGTAACATGTCCGTCATTGCACACGTGGATCACGGTAAGCTTTTCTCTCCGGCTCAGGTTTCTCTTTTGCGTGTATGGAACGAACTGAGTAGGGGTTTTGGGCTTGTTTGCACACGCGGGTCGAAGTGACGTTATTGTCCTTAGTTTCTCCCTCTTCCTCTTGTATTTCCTTTCCTCGTATCTTAGTCGCTTTTCCCCTTCTAACCCTCCCCGTCCTCGTCTACACCCTCTACTTTCCCTACTTCCGACCCGCAAATCTACCCTCACCATTCTCGTCGCTATTCTGGACGTTTTTCAGCGTCGTGTTCCTTTGTCCCTTGTACACGGAACGATGCGTATTCTTCGAGATCCCTCGTCGCGTGCTTCACCTCACGTTTTTTCGTTTTTGATTTCGGAAGTTCCTAACGATTACGAGGTCTCGTTGCTCCATGTCCCCTCTTATGCGACAGGCAAGTCGACTCTCACGGACTCGCTGGTCGCTGCCGCTGGTATCATCGCCCAGGAGACGGCTGGCGACGTCCGTCTAACAGACACTCGCGCCGATGAGGCTGAACGCGGTATTACCATCAAGTCGACTGGCATTTCCCTCTACTATGAGATGACCCCGGAGGAGCTTGACGGCCTGGAGGGTCCCCGGGACGGCAACGAGTACCTTATCAACCTGATTGATTCGCCCGGCCACGTTGACTTTTCGTCCGAGGTCACTGCTGCCCTTCGTATCACTGATGGTGCGCTCGTCGTGGTGGATTGCATCGAGGGTGTGTGCGTGCAGACCGAGACCGTGCTGCGCCAGGTAAGTCTTCTTTTTGTCTGTTGCTCGGAGTGATTTCCTGCGTCAATTGAATTTTTTTTTCTAACGCGACGTGTGCTTGCTGCAGGCCCTCGGTGAGCGTATCCGGCCAGTTCTCACCGTGAACAAGATGGATCGCTGCTTCTTGGAGCTGCAGCTCGACGGCGAAGAGGCCTACCAGGTTTGCATCCTCCCCTAACGGTTTTTCTCTACACGAAAACTGGAATCTAATTCTGGCCGTGAATTTTGTATGCCACGCATTGTCATCGCCTCCTCAGTTTGGCGTCTGTTTGTATTCGTCTCGTGGCTGTGCAGACGTTCCGTCGTGTGATTGAGAACAGCAACGTCATCATGGCGACGTACGAGGACAAGCTGCTGGGCGACGTCATGGTGGCGCCCGAGAAGGGTACCGTGGCGTTCTCCGCCGGTCTGCACGGGTGGGCGTTCACGCTGACCAACTTCGCCAAGATGTACGCCGACAAGTTCAAGGTGGACCGCAAGAAGATGATGGAGCGCCTGTGGGGTGAGAACTTCTTCGATACCGCCACCAAGAAGTGGACCACCAAGAACACTGGCTCGCCCACGTGCTCTCGTGGTTTCGTCCAGTTCTGCTACAACCCCATTAAGCAGGTTCGTACGAGCGCAGTGCCCAGTGTTGTGCGTGACGTTAGCCTATCTGGGTCTCGTAACGGTCGCTGTGTGTGTGCGGCAGGTTATCTCGGCGGCGATGAACGACGAGAAGGCGAAGCTGTTCCCCATGCTGGAGAAGCTCCACGCCGTGCTGCCCAGCGACGCCAAGGAGCTGTCGGGCAAGCCGCTCATGAAGCGTACCATGCAGGCGTGGCTCCCCGCCCAGGCGGCGCTGCTGGAGATGATGATCTTCCACCTGCCGTCGCCCGCCAAGGCCCAGAGGTACCGTGTGGAGAACCTGTACGAGGGCCCCCTCGACGACCAGTACGCCAACGCCATCCGTAACTGCGACCCCGAGGGCCCGCTCATGCTGTACGTGTCGAAGATGATTCCCGCCTCCGACAAGGGTCGCTTCTTCGCGTTCGGGCGTGTGTTCGCTGGTAAGGTGGCGACGGGCATGAAGGTGCGCATCATGGGCCCCAACTACGTGCCGGGCAGCAAGAAGGACCTGTACGTCAAGTCCGTGCAGCGCACCGTCGTGTGGATGGGTCGCAAGCAGGAGTCGGTGGAGGACGTGCCTTGCGGTAACACGGTTGCCATGGTGGGTCTGGACCAGTTCATCACCAAGAACGCCACGCTCACCGGCGAGAAGGAGGTGGACGCGCACCCCATCAAGGCCATGAAGTTCTCGGTGTCGCCCGTCGTGCGCGTCGCCGTGCAGTGCAAGGTGGCGTCCGACCTGCCCAAGCTTGTGGAGGGGCTGAAGCGCCTGAGCAAGAGTGACCCCATGGTGGTGTGCTCCATCGAGGAGAGCGGCGAGCACATCGTCGCGGGCGCTGGCGAGCTGCATCTCGAGATTTGCCTCAAGGATCTGCAGGTCAGTAAGGTTCCTGGTCGCATCGTTTTATGTGTTCTAATTGTGAAGATTTCCCTGTAACTCACCACTGCACGTGACTACCCCTTGTTCCCCGCACCACGCAGGACGACTTTATGGGTGGCGCTGAGATCATCATCTCCGACCCCGTGGTGTCTTTCCGCGAGACAGTGCTGGACCACAGTGAGCGCACCGTGATGGCCAAGTCGCCCAACAAGCACAACAGGCTTTACTTCCAGGCCAGGCCCCTCGAGGACGGCCTCGCTGAGGCCATCGACGATGGCCGCGTCGGCCCCCGCGACGACCCCAAGGGCCGCGTGGAGATCCTCACCAAGGAGTTCGGCTGGGACAAGGAAATTGCGCGCAAGATTTGGTGCTTCGGGCCCGACACCATGGGGCCTAACATCATTGTGGATATGTGTAAGGGAGTGCAGTACCTGTCTGAAATCAGGGAGCACGTGGTGGCGGGCTTCCAGTGGGCGTCTAAGGAGGGTGCCCTGGCGGAGGAGAACATGCGCGGCATTGCCTTTGAGCTGTACGACGTCGTGCTGCACACTGACGCCATCCATCGCGGTGGTGGCCAGCTCATCCCCACGGCTCGCCGTGTGTTCTATGCGGCGCAGCTGACTGCGAAGCCGCGTCTGCTGGAGCCTGTGTACCTGGTGGAGATCCAGGCGCCTGAGGGCGCGCTGGGTGGCATCTACTCCACGCTGAATCAGAAGCGTGGGCAGGTGTTTGAGGAGATGCAGAGGCCCGGCACGCCCCTGTACAACATCAAGGCGCATCTCCCTGTCATTGAGAGCTTTGGCTTCTCTGCGCAGCTGCGCGCTGCCACATCTGGGCAAGCGTTCCCCCAGTGCGTGTTCGACCACTGGGAGATGCTCATGTCAGATCCCCTTGAGCCGGGCACCCAGGCGTTCAAGATTGTGGAGGACATCCGCAAGCGCAAGGGCATCAAGCTGCAGCCGCCTCCCCTCTCCGAGTGGGAGGACAAGCTGTAAGCTGCCCTGTGCCCTGCAGTGACACTGTTGCTTTGGCTGTTGGGTGGTGGGGTGGCAGTGTTTGCTTCTGGTGTTCTAGAAGGCCCATGCAGCTAGTGTTTTTCTGATGCTGCTGCTATGAGGTGCTTTTGGCATCTTGCTATGTCACGTACACTTCTAGCTGTTTCACATTGCGAGACTTTGGGATACGTTTACATGCTACTTGTTTCTTAACGCCCCTTTTTGGTTAGGCTGTATGCACCCTGTCCTCGTGCTATTGAATGCAACGAACCGTGGTTCTATCAATCATTAATGCATTCGTGTGGAACAGCGGAAGTGTATTATAAGAGATTGGAAAGAAAATGTTTTGTCAAACAATTGAGCAGTGCAATATTTTTTCTCATGTAATGATGAGCTTTTCTTTTGGCGGGATTATCCATCCAATTTCAGAGGCGCCTCGAGGATATCACCACCACTCCCCTGATTCTTGCTCTTGCCTGGATTTTGCCGTACAAGGGTGGCAAGGGAAGTCAAGGGAAAGAGAACTCGCAGGAATTCACCGCTGCTTCAGACTTCGGAGACTTTTTGCCAGACTACTGGAATAGCGAGGTGAGTCGTGCCATGACGAAGCAGCAGGAATCGAGCGTAGAATGCGAGGAAGGGAGCTTCCAGGACGGGACGGAGTCGCAAGAGGATGGAGTAAAGGTCCCTGCAGCATCTGCGTGTGTCCATGTGTCTGAACCCACGAAGAGCTGCAGCGTGCGCGTACTGCGCATGAGCATCCGAGGCTTTAAGAGCTACAAGAGGAAGGTTGAGATCGGGCCGTTGAGCGACTTCACGTGCATCATTGGCTGCAATGGCTCGGGGAAATCGGTGAGGCGACCAGAGCTCGTTTCGCGTTGTGTCGCTGTCTTTGGAGAGATTGCGTGAGGCTGGCGAGATGCGCGGAGTGTCCGCGGCTCCGACTGTAACGCGCCCTTTTTCAGGTGGTGGGAGAAGCGCTCGCGTTTGCGCTGGGTGCGTCCACTCGCAGCATGCGCGAGTCACACGCGGGGAATCTGATCAACCAGGCGACGCGGAGCGAAGAAAGCAACAAGGCCACGGCCAAGGTACCGTGAAAGTACCGCGGAGATAGAGCCAGGCTCACTTATTGGTTTCGTGCTTCGAGTTTAGAAGATCCGCACGTGCAATTCTGATCATGTTACTTCGTTCGTCTAAATACCACCAATACGGGCATGGCGGCAATCGGTTAACGGCGTGGTACAGCCCGGTTGTGCGACGAGTTCTCGTGGTTGTGTCCTAACAGGCGGTGCTGGCGTGGCAGGTATCCGTGGTGCTGTCTGTCTCGGCCTTGCAGCCAGCAGCGAGTGCGGCAGGCGAACATGTGGACGGCGAACCGGGACTGGAGGAAATTGAAGGAGAGACCTCACGAAAATCCGAGGCCGGGGAGAATGGTCCAGGTAAAGGGGTTGGTGAATTGGCGGAGAGTGGAGGTGTGGATGCAGGGTGTGGTGGCGAAGGGAGCGGCGCAGGGGGAGATTGCATGAAAGTGGGCGGGCACGAGCAGCAGCACGAGGGCAGTGAGGGTGAGGGCAGGGGAAGCCAAGGCTCTGCGGTCCCTTGTGCGGGTGGATCCGAGGTGAAGGTGACGCGACGGGTGTCTGCCACGGGAAGCAGTGTTTACTCTATTAAGCGAGATGGCGTGAAGAGGTGCGCATCTGATGCCCCCGTTCCTTGCTCGCGTTGGGTCGTTGTGGTGGGTTGTGCTTCTGCTCCGAGTGTGACTCGTGCCCCTTGGCAGGATTGTGAGTGCAAGCCACATGAGGGCCGAGCTCCTGCAACTCGGCATTCGTACTGAGTGCATTGACAGGTGCGCCCATGCCATGCACCATCGTTTTGCGCATCACGCAGCCCATGCTCTGCCATGAGCAGGCGTTGCCTTGCTGTTACCCAGTGGGCGTTGAGCAGTTGTCCTGTGCTGCCCCCTGGTACGTGCAGGTTCATTGTGATGCAGCAGCAGCAGGCTGTCAAGGTGCAGGCGCCCACTCAACTCGTCAAGGTGCGCTGCAATCCTGCTTCCACCGTTGCTGCTTTTGCACTTGCCCAACTGGGATTCTGGTGATGTATTGCTGTCTCTCCAGATTTCTGCACCTCTCGATTGCTGTCCCCTCCGTTGGCGCTCACGATCAGCAAAGCCAATAGCATGAGCACACTGAAAACGGCTCCTGCCTGTTTGACGTGCTGGCACGGGCCCCGTGTTTCGCATCTTTCCGTGTGTTCGTTCACATCTCTGCCCGTTACCCGCGCTGAGCAGTATGTGGAGCAGCTGGTGGGCACGGCACACGTGGAGGAGGCGATAGAGGCGGTGGGGGTGGAGCTGCAGCGAGTGGAGGCGGCACGCGAGGCAGTACGTGCGGAGCAGCAGCTGCTGCTGCAGAGGCGCGAGCAGCTCAGACCGGCTGTGGACTGCTGGAGGAGGTACAGCTGCTGCGCCCTCAATCCAGTAGTATGCTCGTCTCACCCTGCTGCGTGTGTTTGACTCACTCAAGTGCAGCCATGGAGGGCATGTTTCAATGCAGCCATGTACGGCCTTTGACCTTATCCTGCATTGTTGCTGTTGCACGGGCACCATGCAGGTTTCAGTGTGACTGGCAAGAATTCCAGAAGCGAAAGGTGAGGCTCAAGCACTCAAGTCCCTCACACAAGGACAGTGTCTTTAGTTGGATGAATTTTCTCTGTGTGCATGCGTTGATCGCCTGGCTAACGGTTGCCATTGGAGCGCCTGTGGGGTCCAGAGAAAGGCTCTAAAGAGTCATCTGCATGGGCTGAGGCGGAGCAAGGGAGCGCAGCAGCAGCGCATGAAGTCCCTGGAGCGCCACATGCACACCGTGCACAGCCAGAGCAAGGTGCGCATTGCCCCAACCCCGCCCTGCTCGCACCCCACCACCCCCTCCGCTACTTGCCCTGCTTTTGCTGATAACTCGATCCATGGCTTGACACGTCTAGTTCTATGCATGCCTCGGCGCAACTTGCTCATGCGCACCGAAGCATGCAACCAGGTTCCGCGTCAACTCCTGCTGCCCCTCTTTCCCTGCATCCACTTCGCTTCCTTCGCAACTCCCATGCCCTCCGCCCTCACTCCGCCCTCCCCGCCTGCCCACCGCAGGAGGCAGAGGCGGCCATGGCAGAAGCACGGCAGAGGCACCTGGTAGCAGCAGCACGCTCCACTCGCGCCTCCCACCTCCTGGCAGCAGCGCAGGCGAGCTGGCAGCAGCAGCAGCTGGCGCTGGTCAAAGCTCAGGTAGCTCGAGTGCACAGCACAGGGGCACTGGATAGAGTGCTAGGGGTGTGGGGTGGGTTAACATGGGGAATATAAAATTCGAAGGTCTTTGCTTCTCTCTACTCTCCAGCCACTGTAGCGTCTGCAACGCCGTATTGATCAGTCACTTGTCTCTTGGGCCCATGTGTCATCCTCTGCCTCCCAAGGGCCTCCTTGCTCTCACACGTTGACCATTGCTGCTGGCATGTGCAATCACCATTGCCACCTCACACCACCCACAGGTGCGTGTGAAGGAGGCGAGGCGGCAGCACGCACAGGCAGAGGCGGCCAGGAGGCGAGCGGCCAAGGCCGCTGCTGCGCGCAGGGCGAAGCTGCAGGAGGAGCGGACGCGGCTGGGAGAGAGCTTGGCGCGCAGTGAAGAGATGCTGGTGCAGCTGCAGGGGAAGGCGAAGGACGAGGAGAGGCGGCTGAGGGCGAAGCTCCAGGAGCGTGGGTGTGGGGACGGGGATGGGGAGGGTGGGAGTGGGCTGGGTGCGGCGGTGGCAGCAGTGGTGCAGTGGCAGAAGGATGTGGCGGCGCTGCGAGAGGAGGAGCAGCACATGCAGGTGCGCGCTGGGCGCCATGCGCTGCATGATTTGGGGCTGGGGGTTTGTCCTCGTAACAAGTCTTAACTGTGGATGGCTTGATTGTGCAGGCGCGACTCAAGTCCCTGGAAGAACAAGGAGCAGAAGCAACCAAGGGCATACAGGAGAGTGAGGAGAAGGTGAGCAAGGGGCCATATCCGCTGAGGGTCTTCCCACAAGTCTGTGTATCCCTCGTGTCTTGCCGCATCACTTAACTCCCTGCCCTGCCATGTACAGCCGCCTGCGCCGAGCCCTGCAACGTCTGCGGCACCATTCCTCTGCAAGGAGGAACTTTGAGTGCACGCATATATGCCTCTTATGCGGAGCAAATAGATATAATTCACATGCTTGCTTCTGTTGACCCCTCCCCCCTCACCCCTACGTCTATTGCACGGTTGCAGCTGCACTCCCTGCAGCAGCGGGTGCAGGAGGCGGAGAGCAGGAGGGGGGAGCGGCAGCAGGCGGTGCGGGCGGCTCAGGAGCGGCTGAGAGGGCTGCTGGAGCAGGCGGAGAGGGTGGGGGAGCGCGACCTGCCCGCCCTGCACGGCCACCTCGCTGCTCTCCAGGTCACTGCCGCCATGCCGCATGCCATCCATGCCATCCATGCCATCCATGCGCTCTTTCCCCATGCCTCTTTGCTTCATGCTTGTGTCTAATGTTTTCGCCATACCATTCTTGCACGCCATGTGGGGGCGTCGAGTGTAGCGTTCTGCACCCACCATGACATCCACCGCCCCTCCATCCGTGCTTTCACCCCTTGGTCACGCCCCCTCTCTCCCTGTGGCATGCCAGGCAAGGCTGCAGCGACTGCAGGAGCAGCAGCAGGAGGAGGCTGCGGGGGGAGGCGGTGGGAGGGGCAGCAGAGGGGGCAGTGAGGGGAGGGCGAGGGGGGGGCGGTACGAGGCGTATGACAGGGCAGCTGTGGCGTTGTGGAGGACACTGCCTGCCGGCACGCTGAGGGGGCGGCTGTGCGAGCTGGCGCGGGTGGAGGGGCACGCTGCTGCTGCTGTCAACAGCGTACTCTCGCTGTCCTGCAACCTCGCCACCACGTGAGTCCTGCTGCTCACAACGCACTTGCAAATGGGCTTGCATTCGTCTGGGTGTCTTGTCGTCCCAGTGTCATCCTGTTGGCCGTTTTGCGATTTCAACTCGTTTCATGCGAACCCTACATGTCAAGCAATCCGACATGCCAGTTGACCTGAGATGCCATTTAACCCGACATGCCATTTAACCCGACGTGTCATGCACCATCACACGTCATATGTCCTGCCACCGCTGCTCTGCTCTGCTGTGCATGCGTGCGTGCGTGTGCTGTGTGCGCGCATCAGCTTTGTGACGGAGGATCGGCGGACAGCAGCAGCAGTGGTGGGGTACTTTGAGCAGCACCGTGTGGGCCTCGTGTCCTGTGAGATACTGGACGAGCACCACGCCCACCCACTCGCCACGCAGCAGCAGCAGCAGCAGCAGCCAGTGGGGGACCTCGAGCCACCCCACCCTGCATCGCTGCTACCCTGTGTGCCCCCTCCCCACCTCGCCTCCGCCTTGCCCTCTGGAGCCCGCCCCCTGCTGTGTGCGGTACGCTGTGCGCCGGGGTGCCAAGCGGTGCTGGCGCGGCTGTGTGGGTCGTGGCTGCTGGTGGCGGGCCGCGACGACGCAGTGAGGCTGCTGCCGCTGCTGCGACACAACCAGGCGTGGCGGCGGTGCAGCGTTGTCACGGCTGGGGGCGACGTGTTCAGACAGGTGCGATGGGGGGGGGCTGGACCGAAGCTTCACGGGATCGACAACGACTGCGGGGAGCGGAGCTGTAGTTGTGGGTTGGGCGGTTGTGCTTGCAGGCTGTTGGCTCTTTCTCTTGTGTTCCTATGCGGATTCACCAGTGATTCACCAGCTAGACCGTTGTGATTACGGCCATGCTGTGTGCAGGATGGTGAGGTGATCCGCGCGTCGCTCTCCCCCGCCATGGCGCGCTACCACCTGGCGCCACTGGACGATGCTGCTGCTGGCGGGGGGAGAGGAGGGGGGGAGGAGGGTGAAGAGGAGGCGAGGAGGAGGCAGGAGCGGGAGGAGGCGTGGAGGCGAGCAGTGAGTGCAGTGGAGGAGGAGATGGGGCGAGTGCGATGCGCCATAGAGGAGAAGGAGGAGAGGGGAAAGCAGCTGTGGGTGGAGCGAGAGGAGTGTGAGCGAGAGGTGGAGCGGCTCTTGGCTGAGGGCAGGAGGGAGGAGGGGGGAGAGGACGAGGGGGGACTTCCAGGGGCGAAAGGTGGGAGGGGCAGGGACAAAAGGAAGGAGAGGAAGGAGAAGATGACAGGGAAGATGAGCGAGGAAGGGTGTGGTGGTGAGACCCTGGCTGGGTTGCAGCGAGAGGTGGAGAGGTGTGAGGCGGAGAGGGAGGCGATGGGGCGACAGGTGGAGGCAGTGGCGCGGCACGTGGAGGAGCAGAGGGGCCGGCTGCAGGACGTGCAGAGGAGGCTGCAGGCGGTGCTGGGGGCGGCTGCGAGGGAGCCAGGGGAGAGGCAAGAGGGGAGGCGCAGCAGGAGCGTGGCAGAGTGGATGGGCGATGCGGAAATAGCTGCGGGCGCAGAGAGGGTGGTGGAGGCGCGGCGAGCAGTGAAGGAGGCGGAGGAGAGGGCGCGCAAGGAGAGGGTGGAGCTGGCGTGTGTGGAGCAGTCGCTGGCTGCTGTGCGGCACACGGACGGGGAGGAGGAGGAGAGTGTGGGGGGTGGTGGGGGTGCTGGGAGCAAGGGGGCGAGAAGGCAGGCTGAAAGGCATGGGAAAGGCAGGGAGGGAAAGGGAGACGGAAGGAAAGGTGAAGTGGCAAGGGGAGAATTCGAGGGAGGGGAGGAGGATGAGCTGCGAGAGATGGGGGACGAGGTAAAGAGGTTGGAGGCGGCGAGGGATGCCAGGTGAGCAGGACAGCGCGGCAGCAGCAGCAGCGCCACAGACGTGTGCACGTGGTCGTGTGCTGGTAGTGCGTGGAGCCTAGCTGGCGGACAAGCGCATGTGGAACTAGACTCACACGCCCGCATCCCTCCATGTCGTGTGAAGCAAGCTGCATGGCTGCCATCCCCCTCATGCCCCCCTAACGTACCCACCCACTTCTCCCCCGTTCATTCTGTCCTGCCACAGGCAAGCGGAGCTGCAGAGGGCGAGGACGGAGAGTGAGGAGGCAGCAGAAGAAGAGAAGGCGCTCAATTCCAAGCGGACAAAGCTCATGGCCTCACTGGTATCACCCCTTGCCCCTCCTGCTTCTGCATCATGCTCCCTGCCCATGCTCTTTTGTGCTTCTTACCATGTCATGCCATGATGCGTCTGATCAAATCACATCGCCACTTTGTCTGCACCTGAGGAGCTGCATTCCCTGTCCATGTGGCTGCTCGTGCATCTGCCTGGCTGTGCAAATCAGCCTTCTTTTGCGCCTGTGTGTGTGGGCGTGTGGCGTGGTGGCAGGTGAAGCTGCAGGGCAGTGCAGTGGAGTTGAGGCAGCAGCTGGCGGACGTGGACGCACGGGTGCAACGAGCAGAGGTGCTGCTGAGGGAGTGTTCAGGTGACGAGGGGAGCACGAATGGTGGCAGGCGAGGGAGTGGGGGGAGCCGTGGATGCAGCAGGAGCAGGCGAAGAGTGCATGCAGGGAGGAGGGGGAAGGGACGGAAGGCACAGGGGAAGAGAAAAAAGGGGGGTGCCGGAAGGAAGGGGAAGGCAGAGGATGCGGGTGAAGAGGCGAAGGGCGGGGAGCAGGTGCTGAGACGGTCAAGCAGACTCAAAGCGGCAGGAGAGGGGGGAAGCACCAAGGGCAGAGGGGGCTGGGAGAAGGAGAGCTCTATGGTTGGCAAGGGCAGAGGGGAGAGGAAAGGCCGAAAGGGTAGTGCGAGCAAAGATGTAGATGAAGGGGAAGAGAGGCATGGGGAGGTGGCACGGAGAACGTACAGGCGAAGAAGGGGGGCATTGAAGGGTGAGGGTCAAGGGGCAGGGACGCAGCGTGGGGTGACGGATGTGGGCGCAGTGAGTGGTGGTGAGGAAGAAAGCGAAGGCGGGGCGGGTGTTGTAGCCATGGACGTCGATGATTGCGCTGGGGAGGGTATGGGCGACGGGCCGAAACACGGGGGTGGAGGGAAAGGGGTGAAGCGGAAAGAGGTCAAAGAGGGGTGTGCCGATGGAGGGGAGGAGGGGCGAGAAGTGGAAGGGGAAGAGATAGAGGGAGAGGGAGAGGTGGGTGAAGAGGAACAGGAAGAGGAGGAGGAGGAGGAGGAGGAGGAGGAGGAGGAGGAGGAGGAAGATGAGGAGGGGGAGGAAGATGAGGTGGAGGAAGAGGAAGACGATGATGTGGAAGAGGAATTGGAGGAGGAGGATGATGATGCTCATGATGGCATGGAGGGGGATGAGGAGGAGGAGGTAGGAGGAGGCGTTTCACTGGAGGAGGTGGTGGAGGAGGAGAAGGAGCTCATGAGGCAGCGAAGGTGAGATGGCTTGCCCACTGGGTGGGGCTTCTGCCCTCACCCACATGCACGCGTTTGCTGCCTTCCCGTGCTGCGTGTCCTGTGCGTGCATGGCTCTATCCTTCCATTCAAGTCCACCATCCATGTCCTCCTCCTGTTGCTCTCACCACCACCGCGTCCCTGCATCGCCCCTGCCGTCCTCCCCCGCCGCCATGTCATTCCCCCAGTGCCATAGACGCGGCGGCCCTGCAGGAGGACGTGGGGTGTCAGCGGCGGCTGGTGGCGGTGGGGGAGGAGGTGCAGCGCGTGGAGGCACAGGGCCGCGCGCACATGGTGCGGCGGGACGAGCTGGAGATGCAGCGCTTCACACAGCTCAGAGCGGCGCTGCTCAAGGTGCGCCTCACATCGGCCCAGGATGCATGTGCATGCAGCACCAGCCTCTGCATGTCCATGTGCGTCAGCATTTGAATGAGGGCTCGCATGCAACTCTCAATGTGCTGAACGTTCACTGCTTCCTGAGCTTAAAACGCCAACTCATTCGTGGATGGGTTTCCTCGTGTGATGGGTGTGGGCGCGTGTGCATGGATGCACACTATGCGCATGTGTGTGTGTGGGGCAAGGAGGCCCATGGGCTAATGCAGGTGAACGAGCATCTGTCGTCCATCTACAGCGAGCTGACTCGCCATGGAGATGCGTACCTGTCATTCGTGGATGAGAAGAGCCTCCTCTTCTCCGACGGCGTGCACTTCCACGGTATCAACCACCCCTTTCCGCCACTCACCCCTCGTGCTCTGCCTTGCCTTCAGTCCCCCATCATTCTCTGTCCTCCACGTCTCTGCCTCTCACTGCTCTCTGAACCTCGTCGCAGCTGTTGGATCCTTCCACCCCTCTGAACCTCCGCTCTACGTGCTCACCCTGCCCCCCCTGCAGTTCGTCCTGACCGCCAGTGCTGGCGCCCCTTTGCGTCTTTGTCGGGCGGGCAGCAGGCTCTGGCATGTCTGGCTCTGTCGTTCAGCCTGCAGGCGTCCTTCCCCTCGCCCTTCTACTTCTTTGACGAGATCGATGCGTCGCTCGACACCAAGCATGCACTGCAGCTGGCATGCTTTATCCAGGTAATTCTGATGAGGCCCTTTTGTATAATTCTCTTCCTGCACTTTTCATTGGACTTGGAAGAAGTAGCCAGTATGAGCATGGCGCTTGTGTGTGTTGCTGTGCTTCGCGTGTGCCCGCAGGCACATCAGTCAGCACAGTATATTGTGGTGTCGCACCGGCCGCAAGTGTATGAGCAAGCGAGTGCGCTGGTTGGAGTGTACAACTTCAAGGGAAGCTCCACCTGCCTCACAGTGCAAGCCGCCACCCCAGTGCCGCCCATGGTAGCTGTGGATGAGAGAAATGTTTCTTCTGGTTAAAGATTGCACACTGGTCAGCACTACAGGGAGGGAAGGGGGAGGGAGAGATGTCGGCATGTCACTGGTTTAACACTGTTCTATGCGTCGACCTTTCTCAGGCGTCTAGTCATCAACATCATTTGTCGCCCAAACAAGTCAGCTGCTCTAGATGGTGTTTCCTACTAAACTCAGTGCACTCGGTCAAAACAAGTGTTCGTCAACGTCTTTCACAAAATGAAGGAAGCTGCAATATAATGAGTATTTTGAGGTGAAGACACAGTTTTCATTTCTAGTATGTAAGGACACCCCTCTTGCTCAACAGGTTATAGAAAAGAACTGTATGGATGGAAGGTTGCTCAAATGGATGAAGAGCAATGGGAAAGCCCCATGATTAGGCGGGGAAGGGTGCCGCCACAAATTGGCGACGAGCTCAGCGTCGTGTTGGGGAGGCCGTGCGACGACGAGCCTTTTTCGCTAGCGGCTCGTAAGTCGTGAGTCGTGATTGATGGGATGGAAGGAGCGCGCCTCCGCGGTGGCTTCGCGGGGAATCCCATCCCAAACCAACCCAGCCACATTGCGGGCCGCCTGGCGAAGTAAGACGCCTTGCTGATTGGTCCAGAGATGAGCGACAAACAGGGAGCCAGTAAGTTGGGGTAGCGACAAACCCGAAAGCTTAGTTGTCGCTGTGCGACTGCCAGCCACCATTCCCACATTACTGTATTCACTCGATGTTCACAACACTCGGAGTCTGCCTCCTCTCCCCCCCGACGAGCCCCCTTATTGCCTGCAGTTAGCACAGGGACGAGCTGCAAGGAAGCCGCGCAATTTCCTTGCGAGCGCGCTTTTCTTCGACCAACGGCACTCGTCGACGCTCCTTCTCCACTCACCTGGCCCGCCATGACTGTTCCGTACAGGTCGCCGTACGGCGTCAAGGAGAACGCGCGCGCACTCGCGCACTTGGCCCCGCGCAAGAGCGTGGGTGAGCGCGAGGCGCCGTTGGCAGCGGCATTGCAGGTGAGCCAGAGGCGTTCGCGGCGTTGTGATTGTGGCGCGTTGCGTCGGGCATTGAATGCGGGGTCGCCTGATTGTTGGGAGAAGGAAGGTCGTGCATGCAGGACGCCCAAAGGTGGTTGCTATACCCATTTCCCTCTCGGGCCTCCACCCTCCCCGCGCGCCCTCCCACATTTCTCCCATTCCTCCGTCCGCCGCCCTGTCCCATCCCCGCAGCATCGCCCCCCACTCGAGCCCGCCGCGAACACGACGCTCGCTGCCGACGCGTCAGCAGCATTGCGGGCACCTGTAGACCCGCCCGGTCAAAGCACGCCGAGCCCCTTGGGGCATGATCCCTCCGCCGCGACTTCCGCGGCTGCACCCCGTGACGGCAGCGAGACTGCGGCGCGCACGGGATGCGAAAGTCGAGGGGACGAGGGCTCAGTGGGTGGCGCAGAGGACGGCGCGCGAGAGCGGCGTGCAGGAGGCGCGGGGGACGAGCTGGGGCGCAGAGGGAGCGCGCGGGAGCGGGACGGGGTGGCGGAGAAGCAGGCGTGGCCGGGGGGGGAGCGCCGGCGGTGGAGCCTGGACGACTTCGAGGTGATTCGACCGTTGGGGCGCGGGAAATTCGGAACCGTGTTCATGGCGCGCGAGCGAGAGGTGAGACACGAGGTCACCGTCGCTGCACATGGCTGCTCTCCTCGCATGACGTGCACTTCGCCTCCTTCCCCTTCCCCTCCACCCTCAATCTCCCTCTCCCTCTTTCGCTCTCCCTCCCCCATGCACTCGCCCGTATCCGCGCGGCGTGCGCCGTGCGGCGTGCGGGCATCAGAGCGGATGCCTCGTGGCGCTGAAGGCGGTGAGCAAGCGGGAGGTGCGCGAGGAGGGGCTGCAGCAGCAGCTGCGGCGCGAAATCGAGATCCACTCGCACCTGCGCCACCCGGGCGTGCTGCGCCTCTACGGATACTTCTACGACCAGGTCAGCTCAGCGTCTGCTCGCCTCACTCCCTCGCCCACCCTCCGCCCACCTCCTTTGCCGCACGGCCCTCTCGCTGCGCTCGCCCTGATACCCCCTCCCTCCCGCCCCACCCCGTCCACTTGTCCCGGCACGCGCAATGGCAGACGTTCGTGTATCTGGTGCTGGAGCTGGCGGCGGGCGGGGAGCTGTACCGACAGCTGCGCGCCAAAACGAGGTTCCAGGAAGCCCAAGCAGCCAAGGTACCGGTTGCTCTCTATGGGCGCTGAGCCTGTGTCCGCGCCTCTCGCACCTCGCACCTCGCAGCTCGCAGCTCGCACCTCGCACCTCGCACCTCGCGCAGCACAACACCTTGGCTGCCCCTGCAGCCGTGCTCCACAGTCAAGGTTCTTCTCCCCCGCCTCCCCACCTCCGTTGCCCATGGCAGTACGTGGCGGGTGTGGCACGCGCGCTGCTGTACGTGCATGCACGCGGGGTGGTGCACCGCGACATCAAACCAGAGAACCTGCTGCTCTCGCCCAAGGTCAGCTGCTCTCGCCCAAGGTCAGCTGCTCTCGCCCAAGGTCAGCTGCTCGCTGCTCTCCATCGCATCCCCCATTCCGTCACTCTCCCTCATCCCCCCCCACTGTGTGCGGCAGGGCGAGGTGAAGCTGGCAGACTTTGGGTGGTCCACGAGGACGAGGGACAGCAGCACCTGCACCGCCGTGTGCGGCACTCTCGACTACCTCCCCCCCGAAATGGGTGGGTGCCATTACTCTCTCTCTCTCTCTCTCTCTCTCTCTCTCTCCCCCTCTCTCTCTCTCTCCATCTATCTCTCCCTCTCTCTCTCTCTATCTCTCTCTCTCTATCTCTCTCTATCTCTCTCTCTCTCTATCTCTCTCTCTCTCTCTCTATCTCTCTCTCTATCTCTCTATCTCTCTCTGTATCTCTCTCTATCTCTCACTCTATCTCTCACTCTATCTCTCACTCTATCTCTCACTCTCTCTCTCTCTATCTCTCTCTCTCTCTCTCTCTCTCTCTCTCTCTCTCTCTCTCTCTCTCTATCTCTCTCTCTCTCTCATTGTCTCTCCCTCTCACTCCCTGCCTGCCCCTCGTCCCACCACAAGTGTGTCTCTGCTGCGTGCCCTCGTCCCCTGTGTGGTGCGCAGTGGAGGGCGAGCGGCACGGGCAGCAGGTGGACGTGTGGGCGCTGGGCGTGCTGCTCTATGAGATGCTCGTCGGCTGCCCGCCCTTTGAGGCGCCCACACAGACTGACACATACAGACGGTGAGACAGCAGGCGTTTCCCTACTCCCTCCATTCACCATCGGTGACATAGTCTCTCCTCTCCATTTCCGCCCATCACCCCCTGGAGTTGGAGTCTCACACCGTGCCATTGCCGTGTGTGTGCGGTGCAGCATCGTGGCGGTGGACGTGCGCTCCCCCCTGCACGTGCGTGTGTCGCAGCCCGCCAAGGACCTCATTCGCCGCCTGCTCGCGCGCCAGCCTTCACAGCGCCTCCCCCTCGCACACCTGCTGCACCACCCCTGGGTGCTGCGCCACACACAGGGGCAGGGGCAGAGTGGGAGGAGGGCGTAGGAGCAGCATGGTGCAGAGAGGTTGGGATCAGGAATGAGCAGTAGCAGCAGGAGAGGAGTGCTGTTGTGACCCATGGTGGGAACAAGCGAGTGGTGTTGGCAAAGTTGAGTGGTGAAGGGCTCTTTTTCAGCCATTGTGACGGTCGTGTGCATGTGGGGGGTGCAATACAGGTTCCTAATAACATTGTGAGCAATGCAGGTTCCTAGCAAGATCACTCAAACAGACTATGGAGGAATCCAATATTTATATGCACGTACGTTATTCACCTTCCTGTAGTTGCACATAAAAAATGACGATTACAATTTGACCATTCCAGTGCCCCAACTTGCCTAAGTTGACTAGCATTGCTTCTGTGCATAGCGTGAGAGCGACCTGGAAAGAATAATGCCGCCAGAGCAGAACCCCAAACAGCGATGGCACAAGGGCCGTGCAGGGGAGAGACAGATGGGAGGTGGAGGATGGCAGGCGGCGCCTAGTAGAGAGTGAGGCTGAGGACCACGGAGAGCGCAAACCAGGCCATGAGGAAGTAGCCCAGCTTGGCTGTGCCCTCGGGGTCATCAGGAGTCATCTGGTGGCGGTTGGGGCAGACAGGCACGCCGGAGAAATGCAGACATGTTTGGCAAGAGCATGCGTGGAAGCAACAGATCACACATGCGTATGGGAGCAACAGGTGTGGGGGGGGGTGGGAGAGCATACGGGGCGGGGTGGGTTGCCGACGCCTTGCGTGAAGTTCTTCTGTGTGACGTCGGTCTCAAAGGGCCAGACATAGTCGGCGGCGTTGCCCTGCTCGGCGCGGATGATGGCCCAGTCGTACAGCCGCCGCTCCTCCTCCGACACCAGCACGTCCAAGGACACCTGCACACCCACCGCCCATGCCACCCATGGCCGTGTCGCAGAGTGCGGCGCCCACAGTGCGGGTTAGGAGAGGCACGGAAAGGGGCACGAGCATGTAACTGCCCCATACATGTGATTCCCCTCTCATGTTAGGAGAGGCTGAGCTTGATGATATTGGCATGGTGCCTCGGCACGCAACTGCCCCATACATGTGATTCCCCTCTCGTGTCACTGCCAATTCACCCAGGTGCCCAACTCTCCTCCTAGAACCCCTTTCCCCTCCCCCTCCCCCCCTGCCAGGGCCTGCCATCCGCGTCACCGCCATCACAGCCCCTCGCACCCCTCTCCCCGGCCCTGCACGAGGCGCCCTCCTCCGCACTTGCCTCGAGCGACAGCAGCTGCTGGCGGGCCGCCTCCTCGTCCAGGTTGGGGTTGTTCGTCAGCTGCTCGCACCGCGCCTCGAACGCCTTGAAGATCTGCCGCCAACCGCGCCGGCGGGGAAGAGGGAGGGGGGGGGAGGGGGGAGGAAGGGAGAGAGGGAGAGGGACAGCGATGGGTGGACAAGGGGTGCATTGGGGACGGGAGGGGCGGAGGTGAGCAAGGAGGTTGCGACAGAGAGGCAAGGGGAGGAATGACGGGCGGCCGCGGTAGTACGAGCGTGTGGGGGTGGATAGAGTGGCGGGCACCTTCGGCTTTCGCCGCACCTCCACTTCTGGGTACTAAAGCTCACGTGTCCATGACTTGTTCAACACAAGGCTTCACGCGTTCCATGGCAAAAGGAATTGACCGGCGTGGCCACGAGGGCGTGTGACGAGATCGTGCGTCCAGCGGTGCGCATACGGCGACAATCTCACCTCGGCGTTGTTGGCGTTTCTTGACACGCCGAGGCGCTTGTAGTGGTCCACCAGCACCAGGTCTGACACGGAGGGCGCGCACGCACACGGGAGAGGGCGAAAGAGCAAGAGAGAATTGGCGCAGATCTAGCGGGCGATCATGCCGCACGCGCAAGAGTGCGGCCTCGACGCATGGCGCGCAGATGCCGCTACACGCACTGCGCGGATGCGCTCGATCCCGACCTCGTGTGTAATGAGTCGATGTTAGAGTCGACTCAGAAATCGACTCATTACGCGCGGATACGCTCGTTCCCGACCTCATCGCCCTGGGTGCAGCTTCCGTCGAGCGCCAAGCTTCGTGCATGTGCATAAGCGCGCGTACGGCACATTCTCATGCCTCGTCTGCGTCGTCACTCGTTGCCACCCGCATGCCGCCCTGCCTACGCCAAGGAGAAAGAGAAGGGCAGCGCGGGACCTACGTGGACAGGCTCGCGCAACAAGGCAGCTCGGGCGAGCTATGTGCGGGGGCGGGTGAGAGAGCACGCAGTGAGTTGGACCTACCGGCTGACGAGTCGGCCTCCACGGAGCCCGCTGCAACCGCCACCACGTGAAGCGGTCGCCGGCTCGCCACGCGCGCTGCTGGCACTGCCGCGACGCGGAGGGAGCCTGCGACAGTCGCACGGGCGGGATGCGATGACGGCGACGTGCGAGGCACAGGGAGCGCGAGGCCCAGCAAGTCGAGAGTAGCCATGGCGAGGAGCGAGGAACGGTAGAGCGGGGTGAAGGCTGGGAAAGGCACTGAGCGATGGGTTGAGGTGGGACGGGTGGCCTCGAGGGAAAGGTGAAGCCCAAGGGCGAAGGAGGCGACAGAGGAGCAGGGGATGGCGATAGCAGCGATGGAGGTGTGGCGGGCGGGGGAGGGGTTGGCGCGGGTGAATGTGGCCCGAGGAGGAGGCTGGAGGAGGAGGGCTGGCGGAAAGAAAGGCGCGAATGGGGGCTTTGTGCTGGGACGTAGGATGATGTGGCAATGGGATCAGGCAAAGCGAGCCACAAGAGTGGCTCCCCATTTCCCGCCCACGCAATGGAGGTACCTTTGTTGGGGTGGCGTGGTACTTTATAACAAGCTACATGTACATTCGCTACCTGTTATAAAAACAACTTGCCATTTCAGCTCACTGGGTTTACCCACATCTTCACAATCATTATGAGCTGAGGTTTCCCTGGAATAGTATCTTTCCACGCATGAGTCATATTTCAGATGACCTTTCGAATTTCTATGTGCCATAGTAGTTCATACTAGGCATGAAATTTTCACCACGTGATATTTGTTAGGAGTGCATGTGGTGTAGACAATGGCTCTGCATGAGCCCAGCGATCACGCGACGGAAGCCTTGGGCCCTTGGATTTTTGAAGACCTCGAGAATTGTTCATCTCGTGCCTGGTCTAGATTCCTCGCAGTATTCCTCGCTCTGCACTTCTCCCTCACCCATCACAGGAACACGCCATCACCATCACAGCGGATTCACGCTGCCAGGCTGGGCCCTCTTCCCATTTACGTGTTTTGAAAGCCTCTCGCCGCCTCTCGCCGCCTCTCGCCGCCATGAGCGCGATATCAGGCGGAGCCGCTGGTCTGAGCATCGCAACTCCTGCCGGCAGAGGCCGCAAGCGAGGGGCGTCGGCGACGTCGCGAGCTGCTGCTGCGACTAGTGATGCGGTCGGGGTAGAAAGCGTGGGCGGCCGATCGGGCAAACGAAAGGATGCTGGCGCGGCTGGCGGCGAGGCGGCGGGTGACGACGACGAGGACGTGTTGAGCAAGCCGCTGTCGTCTCGCCTCGCCGCTTCAGGTGCTGCTGTGGCGGCAGGGGTGAGTCAAGGCGGCCACACGTCGGCAGGTGCGGGCGATCGAGGCGGGCCAGACGGGCGTGGGCCTGGCGCGAGGGCCGCAGATGGCGTGGCTGCAACGGGCGCTCACCAACGGACGTTGTCAGCAAGCCTCGGATGGGTGGGCACGAGCACGGCGGGCGCCGCGCAGGCCATGAAGTCGGCTCTCAGGTCGTCGCTCTTGTCGCTCGCCACCTCCAGGGGTCCTGCGTCGGCCCTCCCGGCTGGCGATGCGGCAGCGGGCCAGCGCGCGTTGTCGGGGCGCTCAGCTGGGGGCGGGGCGTCAGCGGGTGCGGCGGCAGTGCAGAAGCTGAGCGCGGTGCTGCGGCACCCCGCGCTGCCGGTGGTGCTGCCCATGGTGCTGGCCGTGCTCCTCAGCGCCTACTTCCTGCGCCTTGTCCCCCGCGGCGGGGGCACCCATGCTGCGGCGGGCAACGTGGGCTGGATGTGGTGGGGGGCGAACCGCGCTGAGCGCATGGCGGCGGCGGCGTCTGCTGCGGCGAGGGCGCAGCAGGCGGCGGTGGAGCGGCTGCAGGAGGTGGTGGTGCGGCTAGAGAAGCGCACCGAGTCCATGGCGCAGGCGCTGCAGGTAGGGAGGCTGGGGGGCGACCCAGGGGGGCATCGTTGCACTTGATCAGCGACAAGGAAACGGTGTGGGCTATGCTACTTTGGTTTCCTAGATCTCGAAGAAAGATCACATCTCGTTTGCATGTGTGGCACTGTGGTCCGTGTGTGTGTTGGCGTGGGTGTGTGTGGGGGCCACCAGGTGCAGGCGGACACGCTGGACGAGAAGCTGGGCGCGGTGAGCAAGGAGCAGCAGGTGCGCGCGCAGCACGCCACGGCGCTGGAGGCGAGGCTGGCGGAGCTGGGCGTGAAGGTGCAGCAGACAGACGGCGCCGTGCTGCAGATACTGGCCAACGGGGGGCCCATGGTGCGCCACGAAGTCATGCAGCTCGTGCAGCAGGTGCCCCCGCTCCCTCACCGCCCCACGCCCTCTCATCTCCCCTGCCTGCTGCAGTGCTGCTCCTTCACTGCCCTGCAACATGAATGCGCCCTTAAGCGTTTGTGCTGCACTTGCTGCTGTGCTTACTATTGTTCCTCTTGCATTGACTAGGAATGCCAGGCCTGCCTCAGCAGTCTGAGGTGTTCACTGCGCGTGCCACTCATGCCCGTGTGCCCCTCTCTCCTCCGTTGCTTGCTCTCTGCGTGTGTGTCAGGTGGCGGAGGCGAGGGCGCAGGAGATGGAGGGGCGAGTGCTGACGTTGGACGACGTGCGGGCGGCGGCCAAGAGGGTGGTGGAGGAGCAGCTGCAGCGCCGCCTCACGGACGACATAGAACGCGCCGACTATGCGCTTGCCACGGGGGGGGGGCGCGTCGTCGCGCACTCAGATGCCCTCTACACGCGGCAGCAGCAGCAGCAACAGCAGCAGAAGCGGCGGTGGAGCCAAGTGGTGAACACAGTGTCTCGCCTCGCATCCTCAGGTGCTGCTGGCAGTGGCGCTGCCTCTGGTGGCAAGGAGAGCGAGGCAGCATGGCTGCACCCCAACGCACAGGTGGTGCTCACCCCTGGGCGGTACCCTGGCAACTGCCTGCCTCTCAAGGGGCAGCAGGGCCACATTGACGTGCGCCTGCGCTCCACCATTGTGCCGCTCGCCTTCACCCTCGAGCACCTCCCCAAGGTACGCCCTCCATGCACGTGCATGCGCCAGGGTTTTGAGCTGGTTGAAATGCTGCCCTGTGCCGTGCGCATGTGTTGCACCCACTGCTGTCCCGTCATTGCCCCCTTGCATGGCAGAGCATTGCATACGAGATTCACAGCGCACCCAAGGAGGTGGAGTTCTGGGGCAGGCCGGCTGGCAGCACCACCACCACTGCCGGAGGTGGTGGCAGAGGGGCAAGTGGTGGGGGGGAGGGCGAGGCGGCAGGGTTGGGCAGTGGGGGAGGAGCAGTGGAGGAGGGTGAGTGGCAGCGGCTGGCAGCAGCAAGGTACGAGCTGGAGGGGGGGCCAGTGCAGACGTTCAGTGTGGGCGAGGCGATGGTGGCGGCAGTGGCAGGCAGTGGCATTGGCATAGTGCGCATGCGCGTGCTGTCCAACTACGGGCACCCCAACTTCACCTGCATTTACCGCATCAGAGCTCATGGGGACGCGCTGGCAGGGGGAGGCTGAAAGGGGGGGGAGTGCATGAAGGGAGGACGGTAAGGCAGGGTGTGGGGGAGGGGGAGGCAGGAAGTGGAGGGAGGTGCTCCCTTGGCACTCATCAGTTGTCATGGCTTGCTTTGGATGTGTTGATTGTCTTAGAGATTAGAAGCCGCTGTTTGTATACGCAGTGCCCTGCCCACATGATTCTAACGCTGTTACAAAGGCCGCAAGTAAAGATTTCAGATACACATGCACAGCAGGGGCAGGCAGGCAGGAAATTGGAGCCTGTCCCCTGGGCTGACGTGAAGCTTTATGGAACCGTCGGGCTCACGTCATGTACCCATGCACTGGAACCATGGAAATTTCAATCAACAGAACCATTTCGCATCCCCACAGAACATCCAACCCTCCAAAGGTCCAGCTCCAACACCCTTGTCTGCGGCGCTGGTAAGGGTGGTGCATGGCGCGGGGCATCACCGGTTCTTGCGGGAGTCGTCCTCATACTGCTCCACAAGGCGCTGCACGTCGTCCAGGAATATGTCCTCCGCCAGCAGCCCGTCCGCCGTGTACCTGCCACCAACGCGCGCACAGAATGCAAGGGGAGGGCTAAACCCAAAGACGCTTCACACAAAGATCTGAGACCATCCGTGACAGTCCCCACGGCGCAGGGTGACTGAACCAGTGACGTGGCGGGCCCCACGTACCACTTGGTGATGCTCTTGCAGAGCTCCACCGGGGGGTGGGCGGCGGCGGAGGAGGGGTCAGCGGACTCGATGCGCAGGTGGTAGAGGTCGGACGTGCGCTCCATGCGCGACGACACCGCCACTCCCGTTTGGGAAAACATGCCCTGGCACACACACGGGAGAGGGGATGAGGGTGGTGAATGGCAAGGCATGTGAGGAGATGGATAGAGGCTTGGAGGTTGAACAGCAGCTGAGGCGAGCACACACGGTTGGAGGAATGGCTACCCAGCAGCATACAGCTTCCGCCCATGCCGCTCAGACGAGAAACAAGCGCTGCACATGCAGATGGCAGGTGGCGTGGCGCTACGAGGAAATGAATCTGGCGCGGATAAGGAGACCGAGATTGATTACCGATTGAGGGTAGGTGAAGAGGAAGTAGTTCTTCTCCTTGAATGTGACTATCAGCTGTAGAAGGACGTTAAGCGCTATGTATGTGCTGATTGGTGACGAGTCACAAGAGCGACAGACAAACACACAGAAATGGTGGGAGAGGAAAGAGAGCGAGAGAGAGGAGAGAGAGCGAGAGAGAGGAGAGAGAGCGAGAGAGAGGAGAGAGAGCGAGAGAGAGGAGAGAGAGCGAGAGAGAGGAGAGAGAGCGAGAGAGAGGAGAGAGAGCGAGCAAGAGCGAGGAGGGAAAGGGGAGAAGGGGGGATAGAGAACCGCAGGAAGGTGCAGAGAGAAGGTTAAGGAAGCAACCACAGGGAGGGGAAGAAATTGGCTACTATCAAGCGCCGCATGCACGAGCCTTGGTAACGGTGACAGTGGCACGGGAGAGAATGGGGAGAGGGCGAAGGGGAGAGGGCGACAGACAGGTGGAGGCGAGTGAGGCGAGGGAGCAGCATGCAAGGGCCCGGGTGAGCAACGGCGGCAAGGGGACAAGGACAACAGGGGAGATGCCCCGAGCAGAGGCAGGGGTGGGATGGGAGGGCACGGGCGGGTGGCGGGGCGGATATAGGAGGATGCAGGCGAGTAGCAGCGCGCGGTTGTCGGGGAACTTGCGCGGGTAGAACTGCGCCACGCACGCCACGGCGCACGCCGCGGCGCAGATCGCCATCTTGACGTTGCTCAGCGTGTGGTCCTCCTCGTATCCCCGCGATATTATTATCTGCCAACGCCGCGGGCCGCACGGCGGGCAAAGAGAGCGGGGAGGAAGGGGGTGTGGGGGGGGGAGGGGGGGCGGGGACGTGAGAGGGCGCGTGAGGAGAGCGGAAGGGAGATGGCGAGGGGAGCACACATGGGACGAGCGAACTTGTACGCGTCACCTTGGGATTGCGATGAGCGCGTGCGCGACTATGGCCCGAGGAGGAAGGGCGAGCGCGTGGAGCAGGCTGAGGGACGGGAAGACTCGGTTGCGACAAAGCCGGGTTCCAAGGCCGCTGGCTGCCGTGCCGGCGAGGGGAGGGCGGAACAGATCTCGGGGCGCAGGAGATAGGGCGCGGCAGGGATACTCACGTCCGTGGCCACCTCGTCGAGGTGGCGCTTGAGCATCACGTGGTCGTCCAGATTCAGTCCCTTGGGCTTCGTCTCCGCCACCGCCGCCTCGCCTTCCGCCGCCGCTTCCGGCCGCGACGACCAGATGCCCATGGCGGGAGCTGTGGCGATAGTCGATGAGCAGATGAGATAGATCAGCGAGTAAGGTCGGTCTGATGCACTAGGAGACTGAACCAAGAGCAAGTGGGTTGGCGAGGGCCGACCATTGCTGGGGTCGTTTAGAAGAATGTGTGCTTTGCGCTTTTGGATTGAACGCTCTGCAAACTGTACCCACAGTTACACCCAAACCTTGCCCATGTTAAAAAGTTATTATGCCACAACCTACCACTTGAAGAAACATTAACAAATCGGAGACATCCAATCAAAGCTTGTTCCACAGAATGTAGATTCTGTAATGCCTTATTCAAGGCATACTAATTCGAAATGCTTGAGATATGCTAGATTTCATGTTTCTTGAATAGAGGTGGACTATTACAGTGCCAAAATGTATCATAAACTTCCTACCCGAGTGTAACTCGCGAAGGGAGGCCATCTAGGTATAAAACCCCCATGTATATTTATATGGAGGCAAGTAGAGTGTTATATAGTAAAATTGCTATGGCCAAAAGTACTATGGTTGTGCGACAAAATGATAAGACCAATGAGAAAGGTGTGGGTTCTAACTAACCCAGACAGAAATTCGTTTTTAAATTTTCGAATCCTAACAAATTCAAAGTTGAACAGTTATACAAACTTATAGCTATAATTTTGATAATAGTGTATCAATGTTGGGGGTCTTCCCTCGCGGCTAGCTGATTGAAGCTTCGAACTCACTTTTTGAAGTTTCAAATGCTCGAGACTTTCCTCCATTTGGGAGGTCATGACCATGGGTGTCAACATCATGCATCCTCCGCTGCACCAAGCATCCCAGCTGGGACCCTTGGGTGTCGCGTTGCCTGCGTTTACAACTCGCTGCTGCCCATATCCCAGACTCGCTAGGCTATATTGGTCCAGTTGCAGAGCAACCAGCTCTTCATTCCCCAATCTTCGCAATGCATATAGCTATTTCGAACCTCTCAGCACGTACTTCCTTCCTCGTCTGCAGTTTGTCGACGAATTAGTGTCTCAACGTTCTACCGAGAAGCCTTTCTCCATACCCTATCGACCAACAACTCTTTTACAGGTACTTCACGCGATTCGACTTCCTAGTGTAGCAAATCGAGTCCTTTCCCCAGTTGCGGGCCATCACCCTCGGCTGATCATGCCGCCAGCCATTCCGCATCCTGATGCTCGGCAACTCTCTGCTCCTGCTACCATATACCCTCCTCGTGCAGCGGGCCTACACAGCCTGGCGTCTTTCACCACGGTCCAAGCCATGGACTCTGACGCGGCCCACGACGGTGTGGATGGGGACAAGACACATGACAACGCGCGGCCGTTTCAGGTGGTGGTGGCGGCGACGCCGGAGATGGGCATCGGGCAGGGCGGGCAGTTGCCGTGGACGCACCTGCAGCGGGACATGGCGTTCTTCAAGGACGTGACGTCATCCACGAGTCGTGCCGGCACCAGGAACGCTGTGCTCATGGGTCGGCGCACGTGGGAGTCCCTGCCACCCCGCTTTCGACCGCTGCCGGGTCGGCTTAACGTGGTTCTCACTCGCTCCGGGCAGCTACCAGCCACGAGCGGTGACGGCGGTGGCGGGTGCGCGCAGCAGGACGTGGTGGTGGCGGAGAGCTTGGCGGCGGCGCTGCTCATGCTGGGCGCAGAGCCGCACAAGTCCAGCATCGAGAGCGTGTTCGTCATCGGCGGCGGTCAAGTGTTCAGGTCAGCGTGCATGCAGCTATGCGACTCACGTGCCCTCCAGCTAGCTCCTCGTTACATCATCCATGCAACCAGTGCACGTCACACCCACCCCTCAGTCGCCATGAGTTTCTGACGACTTACTGTTGCACATCTTCATGCTGCCACCCCCCTCGCCCGCTGCAGGGAGGCTCTCTCATCGCCGCTGTGCGAGGCCGTCCACCTCACTCGCGTGCGCCGCCTGTCGTCCGCTGACCCCTCCACTCCCGCTGCCACCACTGGCGGACATCGCGGCGTGGCAGAGGGCGAGGAGTTGATTCCGTGCGACACGCACATGCCCGCTGTTGACCCCTCCGCCTTCCGTCTCTGGCGCGCCTCCTCTCCCTTCAACGACAACGGCTACTCCTGCTCCTTCCTCACTTACGTTCGCGCCTCCCCCCCTCCCGAGCCCAACCCCCCCGCGTCGTCCTCCCTTGCGCTGCCACTGGCAGCCGTCGCGCCATGCCAGGGCAATGGCATGGCGACGGCAGCAGTGGAGGGTGGGAGCAGTAGCAAGAGCAGCGAGGGGCGGCAGGTGCGAGGCGAGGGAGCATGGATGTCCCTGCCAGTGCGAGTGAGGGAGGAGCACGAGGAGTACCAGTACCTGAAGCTCGTCCGACGCATCATGGACGATGGCGTGCCCAGTGACGACCGCACAGGCACCGGCACGCTCTCGCTCTTCGGCTGCCAGGTAAAGGGATAGGCCACGGACGTGATGGGGCAGAGGGCAGAGGAATAAGGAGAGCGTATTGGTTGCACTTTCGAGCTAATCCTTGCACTCGCAGAGTGGAAGTGGTGTGAGTGGCTCCGGCGTCTGATCCCCCAGTGCCTTGGTGTGTGTGCAGATGCGCTTCAACCTTCGCCACACCTTCCCGCTCCTCACCACCAAGGTACCTCACACCCTGCCCGCCCTCTCGCTCCACTTGTCCCTCCCTATGATCTCCCATGCACTCGTGTCATCGTGCCGTGCACTGATCGGTGCTCCACTGCTTTGCGCATGGCCCAACCACGTCGTCTCCTCCAGCCCAGTCGCCCTTGTGCACCATCCGTACTGGTTCGTCGCCCCTGCTGTGTCATGCTGCTTAATGCGTGCACCTTGCTCTTGCCATACTGCGCTCTCTGTGGTGCGTGATGTGTGGTGCGTGGCTGGCAGAGAGTGTTTTGGAGGGCAGTGGTGGAGGAGCTCCTGTGGTTCATTCACGGCTCCACTAATGCCAAGGTGTGCACTGCGCATGCCCCATTGCACCCTTCTCTGCGTCACCGTGCATGTCCCAGGTGTACATGCACCCATGCACCTCCTTGCCTCCACTGACTATTGCTTCGTTGCTGATCAACGCGTGTCTCATGCGTCTGGCATGTGTGCTAAGCTACCATGCGTAGCGTTGTCACATGTACAGCCGCCATCACGTGCCTGCCATGCCATTACATTCTGCCCTGAGTGCAAGTCAGCGGTTGCCTGCCCTTGGTGCACTCCCTGCAGCTGCTGCAAGACAAGGGCATCCACATCTGGGATGGCAATGCTTCCCGCCCCTACCTTGACAGGTATTCCGGACTTAATTGTACTGTACCGTAAATTTGCAATGTGACCTCCCCTTCGTGATTGATGTGGTTCGCTGTTGTTAGCCATCACTGTGTCCGCCTTTCTATACTGGTGATGCCGTCATGCAAATATCTTTCACTCTTGCTGCCACCATTTGCCATTGTCGCCTGCATGTGCACAACTGTCTGCATGCGTTGCTTCCTGCCCACCTGTCCGCATGCCTGCGTGCCCGCCGTGATGCACTGCAGCTTGGGTCTGACTGACCGGGAGGAGGGCGACCTGGGGCCCGTCTATGGCTTTCAGTGGCGCCACTTCGGAGCCAGGTGGGTGCTCATGCCGGCACTTGTTCCCGTACCGTACATGCTTGTGCTGTATGCTGGTGGGACGCTGTGAGGCTTTCCTCTTTGTGCCCCTCATGCACTGCACCATGCAGTACATCCTCTCCGCCCCACAATTCAACTACAAACCTGGTGCCTGCAAATGGTCAGTCTCGTGCATTGACTGCTTGCTTGCCTGCATATCTATGTGCTGTTGTTGTGTGGTGTGCAGAACAAGTGGTGTGTGGGCACTGCTGTGTGTGGCACTTTGTGGTGCGGCTGGGTGTGGCATGGTGTGGTGTGTGCTGTGCGTGCGCGGCAGGTACCGAGACATGCATGCGGAGTACAGCGGGCAGGGAGTGGATCAGCTGGCGGATGTGATTCACCGCATCAAGACCAACCCCAGTGACCGCCGCATCCTCATGAGTGCATGGAACCCCACTGACATCCCACACATGGCCCTGCCGCCCTGCCATGTGCTGGCCCAGTTCTATGTGGCGCGCGGGGAGCTGTCCTGCCAGCTGTACCAGCGATCATGTGACATGGGGCTGGGTGTGCCTTTCAACATCGCCTCCTACTCTCTCCTCACCCTCCTCATAGCTTCAGTGTGTGGTGAGTTGAGTTTCATTCTTCCACTCCTTACCTTGCAATGCCTGCATGTGCATCCCTACACGGACATGTAGTTTGCCTTTGCATGCAATATTGAGGGACGGAGCACCCATGTTTCAATGCAGGGTTGCAGCCTGGCGAGTTCGTGCACGTGCTGGGCGATGCCCACGTCTACTCCAACCACATCGACCCGCTCAAGCTGCAGCTCCAGAATACTCCCCGCCCATTTCCGGTATGCTGCTTGCACTCTTGTTACATGCTTTCTAGGAGCCATTTCCGCAGGCTCATGCTATAGATGTTTTGTCCTTTGCCTGGTTTTGGGAATAGTTGCTGCCCTTATTCCAATGTGCTCTTCCGTTCTCCCCTTGGTGCCTTGCTTCCTCAAAGAGCCTGCATGCTAGCCTGCTAGCGTGCCCTTATTGCATCTGCCAACACCTTGTTGCCGTGGTGCTATTGCAGCGAGTGCGGATAAACCCTGCTGTTGCAGACATTGACAGCTTCACTGCAGCAGACATTGACCTTGTCGGCTACAACCCACATGCCAAGATTTCCATGCGCATGGCAGTGTGATGCTGCTCACTATTGTATGACACCTGATGTCTGTTTGTATTTTTTGGGTTGCAGAGCAACCTACTGCAATCGATCGGCAGATTTGCTATTTAAAAATGAAATTTGTCAAGTAAAAAACATTCTAGATAGTATACCAATCATGGTATTAAAAGCCAAGCTAGCTAGCATCTAATTGTTCGAATGAGAGAATAATCTAGAATGAGAGTACAATAGAATATGGGTGCAACCCGGGCGAGTTCGTGCACGAGAATAATCTAGAATGAGAGCACCCTTGCACTAGCATGTGAGAGCAAGTGATTGATTAAAAGAAACAAGATACAGCAATATATAGCAAATAGGAAAGTAAAGCAGTTGTAGAATACAGTTGAAGGAACGGTTATCGAGTCGCACAATCGACTCGATGGTCGATTCGGTTACCACCCTTGCAGTTGTAACGGTCAGTCGCAACCTCCGGTTGCGACCCTTCGAGTCTTTCGTCCTTTCGTGTTCTTTCGTCCAACCTCCTTGTGTAACCTCCGTTGACTCGCATACCCGATACGACTTTACTCGAGTGTAGTGTTACACTTCAGAAACGCTCAAGTCCTTGAGGTATTTCCAACATATACTATCTACAATAACATACTAGAATATGTTTCGACACACCCCCTAGAAAGTATAAGGGAAGTGCCTAACAAACGGACAAACAGCTCAGGGCGGCACTATTAGTCCAGCCTCTGAGACTAGGGTCTAAAGACCAGTCAAACGAGTACAGACCAAGACAAGAGCATGACCAGGCCGGCACTACTAGTCCAGCCACTGGGAGAGGCCACAAGGCCGGTCAGAGTAATATATATATAAAGGTATGTACACAATCAAGGTCCTAGCAAATGAGAGGCTACAAGAACAGGACCAAGCTGTACACAGTGCCGCTGATGATCTTTAGGCACAAGCACCTTCGTAAAGATATCAACCGTGTTGGCACCAGACCAGAGGCCAAGTGTACTACGCGGGCCTGGCGGCGCTGCTGTAGCTCGCGCAGGAGGAAGTGCCGCAGCTGGATGTGCTTTGCTTTGCCCTCAAGTAGAGGCTCCTGACACAGGAGGATCATGGCCCTGTTGTCAGTGTACAGGATCGGGGCAGAGCTAGGTCGCTCACCTAAGTCGGTAAGCAAGAAGGTCAGCCAGCGGAGCTCCTGTGCCGCCATGGCACCAGCGTAGATCTCAGCCTCATAGCTGGACTGGGCAACAGACGAGGAGCGAGTAGCTCTCCACGAAACAACAGCTGAACCAAGGCTAAAGCAGTAGCCCTGGGATGACCTGAGAGTCTCAGCGTCGTCGGCCCAAGAAGCGTCTGTGTGCCCAGTAAGGACCACGGGCCTGCGTCCTCCGAGCACTAGCCCCATGCCCGATGTACTCGCAGGATAACGCAAAACCCTCTTAGCGGCCGACCGATGCTGTGGTCGGTGTCTGCTTGTGGCCACAAAGCGAGCCAGGATGCTGAGAGGGTATGCGAGATCTGCGCGGGTGCAGGTCATCAGATACATGAGGCAACCCACAAACTCTGCGTAAGGACCACTAGGCTCTACTAACTCCTCAGGAACAGGAGCTGAGAGCGTGTGGTCTACTAGCAAAGGTGTGGGCTGTGCTGAGGAGAACTGAAGACCGATCCGCTAAAGGACCTGGCGCACCAAGTGTGATTGTGAGAGAGTGATGGTGCGTGCTGCTCTGTCCCTGGAGATCTACAAGCTAAGGTAGTAGCATGGCTCTCCTAGGTCAGTGCAGGTGTGTCTCTTCAGCAGCTCTGCCTTCACGAAGGCCAGTGCGTCCCTGTCAGCAGTAGCGAAGACCAGGTCGTCTACGTAGACAAGGATGTAGAACGGGGTCTGGCCAGCCCAAACGAAGAGCGAGGGGTCGGCGGAGGACGGAAAGAACTGCAGGTCAGCTAGGGTGGCATGTAGCGTGTCGTGCCACTCACGGGGCGCCTGTTGCAGGCCGTAGACTGGGCGCCGCAGGAGCCACTGGGTCCCAGAAGGGATGGTACCAGTGAAGCCCTGAGGGCGGCGCAAGTAGACCTGCTCGTGTAGGCTGCCCTGAAGAAACGCTGTGGAGAATTCGAGGGAGTGGAGCTCGTAGTCACGCTGTGCTGCTACGTATAGCAGCGCCCGAAGAGTAGTCATCTTCGTGGTTGGGGACTCTGTGGTGGTGTACCACCAACCTGGACCTCGGCTCTTGGGGCTTGTAGATGCTGAGAACTATCTCAATCTCGATTCGTCTTGCTAAAGTTGTACTTCCAAGACTATAGTGGCTGCTATACCTCCTGCCAATCAAGCCGCTATATCGTCGTCAAATCTTCATGAAATTTCATGATTCAACTTGGTGCTGATAGACGACATCAATGCGCTCCAGATCCAACTTATAGATCACCGTTTGATTTGGTGACCAGATCGTTATCAATATTTGAAGCCGTCTAACGGAAATCCGACTGTGATATCTATCTCTCATTTTAGGCACATCTGAGCCTATTGTGATTATAACAACGCTGACTGAAGCCTCTAGTCACGTAGCGCACCTTGAACATAGGCGGCTCTCCAAGGGGGGGCTTCACCTTGAAGAGCCAGCGGCCATCGACTACGTTCACCCCGGGTGGGGGAACTGCGTCGACGTAGGTGCCGGTGGATCTCCAAGATGCCATCTCCTGCTCCAAGGCAGCTATCCACTGAGAGGCCCAGGGTCCCAAGGTCGCCTCGGCATAGGTGCGAGGGGTCGGGATGTCGAAAGCGTCTGGGTCATCCTCAAGAACAGGTAGCATGGAGCAGAGATGGGGAGCAGCCTCGGACAGGAAAGCAAGCTCGTATTGCCGGTCCTCCAAGACGTCACTGTCGAGGGCAGGCGCACCCCTGACGTACGGAGGACAGGCAGGGTCAGAGACCAGAGCGGTGGCGTAGTCAAGGCGGTGGGTAGAGGCGAAGTCAGCGACAGCAGCAACAAGAGCGTTGAGACGCAAAACAGGAGCAGACAGGTCGGTAACGAGAGAGGCAAGGACCCGGGGAACAAGGGTACGAGCGGCACGAAGGTAGTCAGACAGAGGGAGAGGCACGACAACAAGTGAGGATGGAGGAGGCGACGGCAGGAGAGGAGGACGAGACGCGTGGGAACGAAGCAACATAGGGTGAGAACGCTGAACGGGAGAGACAGGACGAGCACGAGAGGGACGGCGAGACCCGACGTGAGACGGAGGCGTCGGGTCAGGAGACAGAGGAGGAGACAGAGGAGGGGAATGAGGGGGAAGCGGAGCCGCAGACGAGTCTGGAGGAGGGAGCACAGGGCTGTAGACAGGAAGAGGAGGAGACGGTGGGAGAGATGGAGACGCGCGGGCAGGAGAGGGAAGGCCGAGCAGGTGGAGGGCAGACACCGGTGGTGACCTCTGCTGCGGCGGCTGCACGACGCCAACACCTGGACTGCCAGCTGCTCCACGGCTACCTCTGGATTGGTCCACTCCAGCACCCCCAGAAGGAACACCCTCAGAACCAGAGACCCGCGCAGCACCGGCACCACCACCAGACCCATCGGGACGCGCCACACCAGGAACCCCAAGGCTAGCACCCTCCTCAACGCCAGCACCCCCAGAGGACACGGACGGCTGCTGCGGCTGCGACAATGGTGGCTGCGGCTGCGACGACGGCTGCAGCTGCGACAGTGGAGGAGGAGAAACTGGGGAGGGGGCAGGCGGCGAGGACTGTGGTGCGGGGCCACTAGAGTCAGCAGACTCCTCGACAGGGACAACCGACCGGAGGGGGGTGATGTGAGACACACCACACGGGGCAGGACGGGGAGGTGGGGAAACAGGGACGAGCGTGGGAGGGGGAACGAGGAACAGGGAGGGGGTAACCGGGGGACCACGGTGGTGTAAACGGTGGTAGAAGGAGACGGACTCATCAAAGGTGACGTCACGAGAGTGAAAGAAACGGTGAGACGGCAGGTGGTAGAAGTGCAAGTCAGACGAGTCGAGGGGGAAACCTAGAAAGACACAGGGGACGGTGCGGGCAGTGAGCTTGTCCGTACCACAGGCACGAACGTGAGCAAGGCAGCCCCAGACGTGGAACGCAGACGCGTCATTAGGAGACCCGGTCCAGAGGAGGGTCGGCGATGAGGGTGCGGCCACAGGTTAAGCTGGTGAGCGGCGTAGCGAACGGCGAACGGCCACAAAAAATGGGGTGCACCGGCATGAATCATGGAGGTACGAGCCACCTCCATGACCAAACCGATGCGTTGCTCAGCGACCCCATTCTGCTGCGGAGAGTCTGGCAAGGTGAACGTCTGGGTGATGCCCTCCGCACGACAGAAACGACCAAGGACGCCGGAGGCAAACTCGCCACCGCGGTCAGAGTGGAGACGCAACACAGGGAGACCGCGGTGCACATGCGCAGAGACAAGCCACGGGATCAGAACGTCAGGCACGCCGGCCTTCCGCTCCAGAGGAAACACGGTGGTGTAACGAGTGTAGCCGTCAACAAGGACGAGGAAGTAACGCTCACGACGCGGCTCATGGGCGGGGGCAGGGCCCCAGACGTCGATGTGCGGGGTCTGCAAGGGTGCGGTGGTGGGGGGGAACGAGGAGGAATGAGGGGCACGGCGGAGCCGACCCTCGACATAGGGGGTGCACGTCGGCGCGGGTGAAGAGGGGAGCGCGGGGAACGACCCAGGGAGACCTAGAACAAGACCGTGCTGAGACATATGACGAAGACGAGGGAGGGCAGGGTGACCTAGGCGGTGGTGCCACAGCAGTGTCGGTTGAGTGAGCGACCAACACGAGCAAGACGTAGCTACCTGAGGAGACGTGGGTGCCTCGAGAGACTTCACAACCGGGGGGAGGGGCGGTGTCCAGCGTAAACAGGCCAGACACCGGGTCCCGGGGAACTTGGTGAGAGGAGCACCGGTGGCGGCCTCGGTACAGATGGCGTACCGCTCGTGACCAGGGAAAGTAGTGGTGACGCCAAGGTCCTGAAGGCAGCCGACACCAACTAGGTTCCTGGAGAACGAGGGGATGTGCAGGCCTGTAAGTGAGTCAGAAGGAGCCACCGGACAGGGAAGGGTACTGGAGCTACGCGCGATGACAGGGCCGGAGGAAGGGTCGGCCAAGGAAACTGCGG